TTAATTACATAAATCAAGAAAATAAAGTTCTAAAATGTATAAACATGTGTTATAAATTACTGTAATAAAATTGATATTACTTTTGTGATTTCATATTTACTTCATTAATTGTTATAAAGCCATTATAGTATTGATGGCTTATGTAATAGCCAATTAAAATATCTTTGTCCTGTTAACTGATCCAGTATGAAATAACTTTATTAATGTAATTATAATGTGATAGATTTTAATACAAGATTTTTGACACGATGATGTCTTACTACAAGATGATGACATTTGAGCCGCGTCACGACAAAACCAACATAGATCGTTTGCGACCAGCATGGATCCAGACCAGCCTGCACATCCGCGCAGTCTGATCAGGATCCATGCTGTTTACTATCAGTTCCTTCACTTGTAGTAGAGTTGGTAAGCGAACAGCATGGATCCTGATCAGACTGCGCGGATGCGCAGGCTGGTCTGGATCCATGCTGGTCGCAAACCCATTATGTTGGTTTTGTCGTGACGCGGCTCATATATTGAAATAAAAGACTTCTCCTCTTTGTCATACTTTCATATGACTTTACTCTTTAGAATTTAAAGATATTTAACATAGAGGAGTACGGGACTGTGTCACAGACTTAAAATCACTTGACCTTCAACACTAGCTGTTAGTTCAAATCTCATCAGAAAAATTTGGAGTCTTTTCAAGTTAGGAAGTTGTCAGGAAGGTTGGTGGTTCTACTTGCGTACCCTCAAATTAATGAAATAATATCCTAAAGTATGTTCTTCCACCAGTAAAGCTAGAATGTATAAGCTTTATAGCCACATGCATGAATACAAATTATGGCATATACATGTAGTGTAAACAAGACATGTATCTGGTAGATCTAGACCGATGCCATAAAGATTAGCCTTCTAACTATCAATGACTAATAAAGGCCCCAAAAAGTCTTGGAATTGGCCTTCATGTACTAATTCAAAATTAATATAAATCTAAAATATTCTGTTGATTAGTCTGGTGAAAGCTTTTTCCACCCGTGTAGAGGCAGGCCAATCTGCAGCATATAATTCTGTGCAGTTTGACCAGGTTTGAACATTGCTACTGGTTAACAAACTATATTAATGATGTGCAGAGCACAGGTTTGACCTTTATCAAAATTTTGTGTGCTGAACCAATAAAAAGAAATTTATTATTAGACGCCGCGTAAACGCGACGTCTAGTAGATATGCATTCGTTCAGTCAGCAATGGGGAAAATTTTAGTCTTGTTTATTATCTGAACTACGGCCATATTATCGCAATTGAATCTGATTGTTTTGTTAACTAAATCCGAGCCCCAAATATATAACGCGACCAAAATGGGGAATAACTCTAACGCTGTAATATCGGATGTAATTCCGCGTTTGTGCCATAGCTGGGGCCATTTGCATGGCACGCACTCAAGGGGCAGGACGTGAAGTGGTTGCACACTTGGTCCAAGCGAGCGAATTGGTTGCAAACTTGACAAAATGGCGAACACGGCGTGATTTTTTGAAACGGGTGAACAAATTTTTGTACAGCATTGACAGAAACATATTTTGTTATTGTTAAATGCAGTTCAAAACTTACAAATTCGAATAAATTAGGAGAAAAACCGACTAGAACAGTCACATGTCAAATTTAAATATATCTACATGATCAGTTTATATCTTCAATAACTTCGTCAAAACAGAATCTAGGATGCTGAAACCTTTAACCGAGTGTGGCATATATATTGCATTATGGAATAGACATACTAATGAACTTCAAAATTACAAAGAAACCCACTTGCCTGGCAAAAACTCGTTCACCCGTTTCAAAAAATCACGCCGTGTTCGCCATTTTGTCAAGTTTGCAACCAATTCGCCCGCTTGAACCAAGTGTGCAACCACTTCATGTCCTGCCCCTTGGCACTGTCAGAGAATAAATTATAGTCTGTCCCATTAAAAATGGAAATGAACTTTTGCCTGGTTTGGATTAACAAATCGAGGTTGAATAAATATTAAACTATTTTTGTAAACTAAATAAAAGTCACCCTCGAGATTTTTTAGGATTTTACTCTAAAGTGTCTACTTTTCTTGTGAAAGCAAATTTTGATTTCTCTATGGTAAATCTCTGTTGTTTGTTTTCCGTAGCCATTGCCGAAGTACTCTTCATTTGAAGATGAACGGGAAAAAGCACGTGTCATGTTTCTAAAATATACATGAAGTTGTCGGGGTCGTTTCATGATTATTTTACAAACCTAGATCTACAAGATGTAACAGTTTAGTTGCAATGCATGATGGAAAACATTACAAAATGAAAAATAAGCAACAAGAACACCGAGTCACATGGAGTAGATCTAGAAATTGCACTTACTTTTAAGCTGAATAGAATCCCTATGAATTTCGAAATAGATCTACATGTCAGGACCATAGGTGTTCGGCGCGTTGATTGGCCACTACTCCCGCACCCCCCCCCCCTCACCCCCACACCCACTCTTCAGCCCTTCTACCTCTCAAAACCATGTAAAATACAGTATTTTTCATTTGAAACATGTTTTAATATTTGGTTTATGCTTTTAATTCAAATACCTTCATTTCCCACAAAAAAATAAAAAATTGATACATATATATTTAGTAAGTAGGGAATTGATTATTCTTAAAGGAAATAAAGCTGTCATTACGATCACATTACGATCATTTAAAGTTATCCGAAGATGTGTAATCTCAAAGTCACCGCAAGTGTAACTCGACAGAGACCTGACCGCTGGGTTTTCGTCAAAATTACCCGACTAAACGGCAGTTTATTCGAAATGAATGAATATTTCATTGTATTGCGCATATAAATATGATCAAATTATATTATTATTTGTAATAACTGTTCAATCAAAACATCATATAAAACTATAACAAACCTATAAACTATAACATATTTGAAACCATTTTTTTGGATAAATGTCACAATTTATGAAAAAGAATAAAAACTAAAGCTATTAAACGCGTAGGTCTTTACAAAAAATAATAATAAAAAAGTAAGAAAACTTTTCCTGAAATAACTCTTATCGCTGTAAACATAAAATTTATTTAAATTGGTGTTCTCACTATATGGTAATATACCACGTACAGTGACATTAAAAACTGATGTTGTTTTTCGTATTCAAGAAGCATGTTCTGTTTATCTTTACGAGTATGTCCTATATGTCTGTATGACAAAAAATGTTGAACCTGGAATTACGGTCTTTTAACTCAAAGGTTGAACGTGGATTATTCTATGATAATTATGGCTGAAGTAATTTTTAATGGAAGGAAAATGAAAGCGGATCTCGGACATATATTTGTACGAGCGTATATAATTAATATCGTTTTAAACATCAAATAAACACGTTTCTCAGATGTCAAAGTAAGAAAAGGGCTGTACTCAATTGAAAAGTGCCTACGTCAAGTTAAATTCTTAAAATATACAAAAATGGTATCGGACTCACCGCACTGCGTTTCAATCGAATCCACCGCCGTCTGCGACGAAAACATTTTTTGTCATTTATTTTATAAACAGGCAATAATGATTTCCCAATTTTCCAAATTATGGTTAATTTGTGAAAGTATCATTCATTCGATGTGATGCCGTTGTATTATGTGGTCGTTTTGCACACATTTGTATGTGTTTTAACCAAAGTGGCGTCCCCTTATCAAACTGTACAGATGTGTTTGCATAAACGGCAATGAATTGCACCGTGTCCGTGTAATATGTTGAAAGAGTACATATGTGGGCTCCAGACCTCATATACAGACTCAATCAAACCGAGTCTGCAATGCTTATGTAATTTTGTTGCGATTAATGCTTCCGAGGGATCACTTTGTTTCCTAATTTTTATACTTCACAACAGCAGGTGTCAAGTGCCGTGTGACAGCTATAAAAGTTGCCCCGTACTTCACTGCAGTGTTGTTATATTGTTCTGGTCCTACGGGATCATTGATGCCCACACTATTAAGTGTTGAGAATTATGTACCGCTCAAGCCGGTGCTAGGGGGCGTGAGCGATGTTTCACCAATTCATTATCCCTCATATACAGACTCAATCAAACAGAGTCTGCAATTCTTATGTAATTTTGTTGTGATTAATGCTTCCGATGGGATCAATTTGTTTCCAGATTTATACACTTCTGTATTAATAGAAATGAACGTTGCCGAAATATACGATGTGTTTTCACTTTTCAGACATCGTGATTTTTTAACAAAAGCTAATGGTCAAAATACATGTTTTTTTTTATAATTTGATATTTAATATCAGACATTATATTCGACGTAAACAATACCACTAATTGATTTAAATAACAAACAGAAAATCTTTAAAAAAAAGATAGAAAAGGTTGTATAAATAGTCACATAAATGAAGTACATGTATGAACAAACACATTAAACTACAATTTGTTGGTCAAAATGTCAAAGTAAATCACTGGCAATATTTTCAAGGTATTAATCAATATGTTTATCATTTTATATAGTCAAATGGGCAGAATAAAATTTATTTAAGTTAAGTTCCTTCTACTTGACATCATAATAATTGGGCGGCGGTGCTGTGGGACCGGTGGTACTGAATCCCGGATACGAAGGTGGAGGCGGTGGATATACACCAGTTGAATACTGTGTCTGTTGTTGTTGTTGTTGCTGCTGTTGTTGTTCAAACATCTGTCGTTGGAGATCAAGTTGTTGTTGTAGCAGACGATTTTGTGCCTCCAACTGACTAATCTGTGCATCATTTACATGCATACCGGTCTGGACTGTATTGGTTTGGAAAACAGTGGGCATTGTTGATTGTCCGTTCGTATTTATAAATACCATGCGACCCCGCCTTCCGCGCTGTATGTGCACGCCGAAATATGAACCATATGTACATACAATACACATTGAGAATATTGTAAGAAATATTGCACCAATGCAGCCGAGTAGAATTATTAATGCAAGCGTTTTCTTTGGTCCGTCATCTTCTTCGTCCTCATCTCGGAAGCTAGATGATGTGGAGCTAAATCCCCCTACCCCCGCACTAACACAGCCGATAAAACATCCCATTATGGTGAACATAGATAAAATGTACTGTCCCTGCATCTGAAAATATATGTTAATTCTTTGATAAATTATGATTGTGATCTATAGATAAACATGCATTTTCTTTCATAAATTTACTATTATTACCTAAGTTTAGTGTGCGGAGGAGAATGATTATTGTTATATATTAAAGATCACAAAAATGTATCACATTAGCTCACTTTTCTCTGTATTATGTAATGTACTATATATAAGCTATATATCTGAAGTTCATGTATGTAGGGGCGTCCCTGGCCGAGTGGTATAGGTTTAGGTCGTTGGCTTCACGTAAAACACAACCAAAAAAAATCATGTATATTTTAACTTGACAACTTTTGTAAAATGAATAAATTTAACGTACTTTCAGTCTCGTAATATGTATCTTTTTCGAATTATCATTTACTTTTAATGGTATTCACAATACACAACTTACGGCGCATGCCAGCTCTCTCTTTTTCACATCACTATCAGCCGAAGGTGCCTTCACTAAAATGCACCAGCAAACTGCTGAAGAGGTTAGCGTCTGGAAAAAAAGATCAATTTTTATCAATAATGTTATACTTTTTATGAAAAATTGCTCAATAAATTAATTTATGGTATGAAAGTCAGAAAGTTCCCTAATTAAGCTTAAATTTATATATTACTGACTTTACATAACATTTAGATATCAATTTATTCAGGCAAATAAGCTCTGTATAGTTTGACTAAGTGGTATAAGATTTTAAGAAGCAGTTAAAGGACAATAACGTAAAAATTTGGTATGTGAGAAGTTAGCAGTAAACAGTGAGCTAAGCAAAAAGGCATTTCAATTTATATAGGGAAGGTAATGATCTGCTGTAATGCTCAGCTGTTTTGGGCATCTAGCAGGGCATTCCTAAATATAGTGTAAAAATGCTCTGCTGCAATACTCAGCTGTCTTGGCAATCTAGCAGAGCATTCCTAGCTTTAGTGAAAAAATGCTCTGCTGGAACGCTCAGCTGGCTAGGCAATCTAGCAGTGCATTACTAAATATAGTGTTAAAATGCTCTGCTGGAATGCTAAGCTGGCTAGGCAATCTAGCAGGACATTACTAAATATAGTGAAAAAATGCTATTCTGGAATGCTAAGCTGGCTAGGCAATCTAGCAGTGAATTACTAAATATAGTGAACAAATGCTATTCTGGAATGCTAAGCTGGCTAGGCAATCTAGCAGGACATTACTAAATATAGTGTACAAATGCTATTCTGGAATGCTAAGCTGGCTAGGCAATCTAGCAGGGCATTACTAAATAATGTAATGCCTTAGGGTCAGGGTAACAGAATCTTACCTTATTTAAATGTACTTGTATAAACAGTAATCTTGACTTGTTCAATGATAATGATGTGTGCTATATTCGAACCAATCTTTCCCATTTTCTCTGATTGTTGATAGTAACGAAACATAAAATTGTACACATACGTGTAGATCAACATAGTTTAAACAACCTATCACGTATAATACAGCTTCATGCTCGTTTAACTTTAATCCGAACGTGTTCTGTTTTTTATCCGGCATATCCGGTAACTGTTCCTCACACAGATGTCCTGATTTTAACATGTAAGTCTTTGTGAATTGTTATTATTGTATGTAATTATTCCAGACACTTTTATTGTTTGATTTAAATAACTGT